CGCCACTTCCAGCTTTTTTCTTTTTGCTTATGTGGTGCTGAGGAATCGAACCCAGGGCCTCAGGCATGCAAGGCAAGCACTCTACTACTGAGCCACCTTCCCAGCCCCTGTGTTTTGTTCTTAAACTTGATCATACTTCTCCTTTGAGGATATTAAACATCAGCCTGTAACAACACAGCTGTGTAGGTTTACATCATTCTTTACAGCATCAAAATATTCTAAAAAGTGTTCAGAATCATCAGGACCAATGGATGTACATCCATATTGCTTTCAGAATTCACTACTAAGATGCTGCTGCCAATGAGTCTTTGTTTTGCAAGAATATTTGTAGTATGGATTCTTAGAAGTGGAAGTGGTGAGACAAAGAATATAGGCAATGTGAAATTTAACATATATTACTAAATTGTCCTGAGAGGCTGGCACTAACCTGTGTATTCCAATGGCTCTCCTAACATTGGAATTTGTCAGATTGAAAAATAGTTCAAAAATTCATATACAGGAAAAAGATACTTTTAAAAAAAGTTGTCAAGGGGCTGGGACGGTGGCTCAGTGGTAAAAAGTTGGAAGTGGGTGCTATGGCTCAAGTGGTAGAGTGCTAGCCTTGAGCTGAAGAGCTCAGAACAGTGCCCAGGCCCAGAGTTCAAGCTCCACGACCAGCAAAAAAAAAAAAAAAAAAAAAGTTGTCAATTTTGTAATTCCAAGTGCGCATGAGTTTCAAAATTCCACTTGCAGCCCAATGTTTAGGATACCTATGAGATTTTTTTCCCCCTTGTCTTATTTTTTTTTTGAAACTAGGTCTCATTAGGTAGGTTAGGCTGGCCTTAAACCCTCCATTCCATCCTTCCTATAATCTCTCCTGAATCTTGGGATTACAGGCCTTCACCAACCTAGCATTTTCCATATTAACCACATAAGTTGTTTTCCAGTGAAGTATCTTTTTCTATTTTCCCACTGAGTTTTTCATACCTTTCCAAGTGTTTTATGGAAAATAGAGCCAAATCAAATCCCACTCGCACTCTAGTTATACATACCAAAAATACTGCACTCACCGAAAAACTGCTTGTTATCCTCATAGTACTTGTTTCCATACTTGTCTTCCCCCACTAATGTACCAACCTTGACATCATTTGTCCTGTACATGCCCAAAAAAGAAAAGACATTTTAGATGGATTTGTTGTTGAAGATATAAACAGTAATAAACTGAAAATACCCATGTACAGACACAAACTACAAAAATGAGGAGACTCTGAGAATGGTCACCAGGTCGCCCATTTCTAGCTCCTGCCAAGCAGCTAAGAATCAGCTTTCAGGCGAAGAGTTCCAGAATCCGTAAAACAGGACTATTTATTTGTATCTACTATCCCATTATTCACAAGCTCTAGAGCTAACACCTTCAGGAAGCCCGAGCGTTTTCATCTTCCTAAAAGGTCTTGAACATCTTCGGTTCATCCCGGGTCTCCTGCTGGTTTCCCACGTCCCGTCGAGAGGTCAGGCCCGACGCGGACCATGTCCTCCGCCCTCGGCGGTGACCGAAGGCCAGTGCGGGAGAAACTTCGCCAAGGTCACTAAGTGAAGGAATGTCGGCAGCGCTCGCTACGTTCCAGGCGCAGGCGCGCGGCCGCCCTCCCTCCCCTCGGTGAGGTGTCGCCTCGGGGTCACACAGCTCCATCTCCACGGTCTGCGCGGGTGCAGACCCGGACACCTCGAGGACAGTTTAAGCCCCAGGACTGCAGGGATCCGGCCGGCTGTCCTTGGCAAAGCTGAGGGCTCTCCAAAGTGGTCCAAGCCCGAGCCCCTTTCCAAGCCACCAAGCCGGCCTCGCCACACGGACCGAAAGCGCAGGTCTGCAGGCTCACCTTAAGAAAGCCCGTAGGTACCCGAAGAGGCCGCCGTGGCCGCGATACTGCCCTAATCCGCGCCTCAGGACCTCCACCAGCTCCATGTTTTCCTGCAGGCCCCGCCTTCCGGGGACGCCAGGAAAACACCACCGGGTGCTTCCTCCCGGGGCGACTGGAGAAAGGTTCCCACCCAGGGCTGGCTGAGGGGGTGGGCCCGCGCGTGCGCAGATGCGAAGCTCGCTGCGGGGTTGGGCGGGGTCTCGGGGGTGGGGGGTGGGGAGCAGAGGGAGGAGTTTGGGCTCTCAAATCAGGTTCTGTGGGTTTCCAAAGCAAAGGCGTCGTAGGTTTTCGTTTTCAGAGGTTGCATTGGAAGACAGACTCGTGGAAAGCCCAGACGGGCTTCCTCTGTGGTTAGAAATTGCAGTCTCCTTGGCTCAACATTATGCCCAAAATTCCTCCTATCGCTCAGGTGGCACCCTATCCGTTGAACCACGTCGCCTGGCGGGCTCTCCTCCCCTCCCCAACCCCGCCCTGTTATTTTGGAGGTGGAGTCTCAGTGACTTCTTGGGGTCCGCAGAGTGGCTAGGATATCAGTAGGGTATCAGATGTGAGCCACTATACCTGGTTCATAACCGTTTTTAAGGGTACAGTAGTGTTAATTACACGCTCTAGTTAACATCTCTAGAATTTATTCATCTTACAAAAGGAACCATATCCATAAAACAGTCCCCCCCCCCCAAGTCCCCATGGGATCCACATTGCTTTTTATTTCTGTTTGGTTACTTTGGATATATTTGTAAGTAGGATCATGCACTGTCTTTTTTTTTGGGGGGGGGGTCCGGTCGTGGAGCCTGAACTCTGGGCCTGGGCGCTGTCCCTCAGCTCTTCAGCTCAAGGCTAGAGCTCTACCACTTGAGCCATAGTGCCACTTCGGCTTTTTTCTTTTTGCTCATGTGGTGCTGAGGAATCGAACCCAGGGCCTCAGGCATGCAAGGCAAGCGCTCTACCACTGAGCCACCTTCCCAGCCCCATGCACTGTCTTTTTATGACTGGCTTATTTTAGTTAGCATACATCCATGTCCACTCATAGTATATGGCAGGATCTTCTTTTTAAGTGCTGAAGAGTTTTCCATTTTATGTATATAACTTTGTTCATGTATATGTTTGTTTTGGAGACAGAAAAAAGCCAGCCCTGGATAGCCTCAAACTTCCTGCCTCTGCCTCTCGAGTCCTGTGATTACAGGTGTGTACCATACTTGGCTACAACCCCCTTTTCTGTATCCATTCATTTGTCCATGGTCATTTAGGTTGTTTCTACTTTTTTTTTTTGTTGATCGTGGGGCCTGAACTCTGGGCCTGGGCGCTGTCCCTCAGCTCTTCAGCTCAAGGCTAGCACTCTACCACTTGAGCCACAGTGCCACTTCCCGCCTTTTCTGCTTATGTGGTGCTGAGGAATCGAACCCAGGGCCTCATGCACGCACGGCAAGCACTCTACCACTGAGCCACTCTTCCCAGCCCCATGTTTCTACTTCTTGAGTATGGCGAATAATGCTGTAGTGAACAGGGTTGTATAAGTATCTGAGATCTTGCTTCTCATTCTTTTGAATATATACCCAGAAGCTAGATTATTGAGTCATGATAATTTCAATTTTTTTTTTTTTGTCGGTCCTGGGGCTTGAACTCTGGGCTTGGGCGCTGTCCCTCAGCTCTTCAGCTCAAGGCGAGCGCTCTACCACTTGAGCTACAGCGCCACTTCCGCTTTTCTGGTGGTTTATTGGAGATAGGAGTCTCACGGTCTCTCCTGCCGGGGCTGGCTTTGAACCGCGATCCTCAGATCTCAGCCTCCTGAGTAGCTAGGATTACAGGCGTGAGCCACCAGCGCCCGGCGATAATTTCAATTTTTAAAGGTACTTCTCTATTGAGGGAGAAAATGGAGGAAAGCAAAGATAGGGTGACATTGTTTAAAAACAAAATGTACTCATTACCTGACTTATGAAATGGTAACCTCTCTATATAACACCTTAACAATAAAAATAAAATTCTATACGTACATATTTAAAAAATGCTTCCCTATTGTTTTTCATAGTGGCTATAACTACTTCAGCCATGAGATTAGTTTAAATCTCTTGAGGCTTTTCAGGGAGTGACATTTATCAAGATGCACTGCATTCATAAAATGCTTTGTTGAATGGCAACTCCTTTGAGCACTCCTGAAAGACTACGTATGTCTATGTGTGTATGTGTGTGTGTGTGTATATGTATATACACACACACACACATACACATATACACTATGTGTGTATATATATATGTGTGTGTGTATATATATATATATAATATACACACACACACATATATATATATATATATATATATATATATAAATGAAAGCATCCACTTGGCTTTGTTAACTGTTGCTGTTTGCTGTTGGGACTCAGCCATGAGACTATGAGGAGCAAAACAGAGTGACTATATGTACATGCTCTGGCTTGTTCTACTTGATATCCCAGAAAACAGCAACTATTAACATCTAGACACATCTGAGTGATCCCCAAAATGTACTTTGCAATAAAATCTTTATATGTGTGTTTAAAAAAATCAACCAATGGATGTAACAAAACAATTCATCATGAAATCTGAACAGTACTTAACAGGCCTGCTTATATTAGTGGACTCTAAAATGCTACAGGCTGATGCTCACAAAAGCAATATGGGAGCCCTCCTCCTCAGCAGACCCTACTCTCACCAGAGCAAAGACAACTCTCCTGCCAAGCTCTAAGTATTCAAGAGCACATAAGTGTTAAACACCCTTATTTTCCCCCCCCAATAAACTGGTGAAATTATGCTGTTTGGATACTTTTAGGCTTGCTTCTTTTAGTACAGGATAGGATCTCTACTACAGTTTATGTATCCATTCTCCTGTCAATGAGGTTTCAGACTGGTTTTTTGGTTTTATTCTCGTACAATGCTGATGTGATTTTTTTCCCCCTCTTTGGTGATGGGATTAAATCTTTGTGAATGCTAAGCACGAGTTCTTACCACTGAGCTACTACATTCTCTGCCTCATGACAAAGGATAGACAAACATTGCTTTGAGTAAATAAGACACTGAAATAAAATATATTAGCAGTATACAAAAACTTGTAATTCAAGTTGCTTTTAATATAGTTTTAAAAACAATTCCATATGTAACTACAAATTTAATCAGGGAAAAAATATCCGAAAGTCTCTTAATTAACCATTAATACATTGCTTTCTTTTTTTTTAAGTCCTTGGCTTACTCTCTTGTATTTGTAAAGTTTTAAACTACTGATTTTTCCACTTCAGCATTTTATGTTTAATGCACATTTTTCCCAGCTGATAATTATAAAGCTGTTGAAAACAAAACATGATTTCAGTAGGGAGAAGTTTCCTTTAATAAGTTGGTAAAGATTACAAGATAATATTTTTAAACTTTTCATTACTATTAAGTTAGTTATTAGTAAATTTCACCCCTACCTCCAAGTTCAGCTTCTTGTCTGTTGTAAAAATCTTCATAACAAAAATGTACTTTGACTGCAGTAAAACCTTCTATTTGGTTTTTTAAAAAAATCAAACAATAGATGTACTTAAATAATTCATCATGACAGTAAGAGATCTGCCTGTGGTGACATGTGAAATGGCATGTGTGGAGTGTACCAATCCAGCTGTAGTGGCAGTGACAGGCTCTGCTGATCATCACACTAGTGGAACTGCAGAACCTGCTTCCCAGTGAAAAGCTTTAAAGTAATGGATGAATCCATTTTGAAAACAAAGATAGCTATGATACACCCACTACTTTAAAACTCATTGCGTTTTTCTAATCTAACAGATATTGGCTAAACCCCAGGAAAAAGCCAAGACTTTGTACCACAGGCCAAAGAGAAGGGTGAGGTGGGTGCTTTTTGTGGAATGGAAGAACAATTTTAATACCTATCTTAAAATGTTGAAAGCATTTTGGGCTCAGTCTCTAATATGTTTAAAACAGAAGTAAACCAAAAATGGGTTAACCAAAAACCTCATTCTCAAAACCACATATATAGAAAGTGCTTGTAACTAATATCATACAACACTAAAAATCAATGACCTAGGTCTCATTGCCAGCAATGAGAGTGATATATGCTAAAGGACGTCTTGATATTTACAAAAGCCAAAAATATATATTCAATTATTATTATTTCCTATAGTTCTAACATTATCATTATACCACTGAGCATAAAATGGTAATAAAATACCTTCAACCTGGTAATAAAAACAATTACATTTGGAAGAGTAAAAGGGAAGTTCATCCCTAGGGACATTCGACTACTAAGTGTACTAGTTCATAAGGATATTACATATGAATAGAACACAATTCAGGAAAAAGCCAGACAATTTATTTTATAAAATTAAACAGAATGAGATCGTAGTTTAGATGGTAAAGAAATGACTTTCTGGTGTCATCTTCACCACATACAGAAACACAGTATTTTTTTTACTCATTTGTACAAGACAGAAAGGAAACCTAATTCTCTCTGCCTACCCAGTCGTGTCAAACATTCTTTCTCAGGAAGCTCAAGTAAAAATACCTTGGATTTTGGTTACTTTTAAAAGTCACAATTTCCAGATGGCCTGGAAGCAATGAGTTCGATTTGGTGTGGTCTTGTATTCCAACAAGGAACAGTAAGTTTATAGCAACTGCCACGACAACTTTCAAGTGCTGTGACCAATGATTTGAGAGTTGTAATCTGCAGGCTCCATTTTTAAAATATGTGGGATGACACTGTCAATTCTTACATTCCCAATCAGACCTTTGAAAAAAAGTTCTTCTGTGATAGTAGCATTCATCAGTCTCAGAGCTGGCAATCTGAGAAGCAATCGGGATAGCCTAAAAGAAGAAAAAAAGGGAAAAACAACTTGTAGATCAAAAAGATTTGGTAGAAATACCACAAACAAAACAACAACAACAAAACCAAAAATTACATTCTCAAGCCATAGGATGCCTACTAATCACCTGGATACGAATGCAATCTGAAATTCTAGAAGAAAGTTTGCTCTTAACTGCTATCCTGTGCTGCCTCCCTTAAGCATGAGGACTGTGGAACTACATTAGTAGACTATGAGTGAACACGTATATTTAGGAATGACTTACCAACTTATTCCTTATTTTAAGAACAAGCTACATACAAACTATACTATTGCTTTGAAAGTATTAACTATTTCAAATCCAAAGGTCAAAGTTGACTCTTAGACTGGAAAATAATAGATTTGTTGAAAGATCTTTTAAATAAATTGAATCAAATAGCAGTGAACTTATAGATACCTGTATGTGTCATCTGGATATGTTCTGGTTATGTAGTCTTGAAATTCCACATAAGCCTTTTCCTGAAACTTCTCAATCTGTTCCATGTTTACTAGGCCTGGATGGTCTGAAACATTAAAGAATATCTTGTTACAATTGTTAAAACAGGGATACAGGAGGACCCATTGCAACAATGAGATGTACAAGTCCTTATGTTGAAAAATGAACTTTACAACTTTGGTGGGGGGGAGGGACAGGGGTGGGAGGAGAGGATATGAAGGGATGGGAAGGGGAAACAAAGGAGGAGGCTACAATGCTTGATAAGAAATGTGCTCATTATCTTGCCCATGTAATTGTAACCCCTCTGTACAGTATTTTCACAATAAAAATATATTAGAAAAAAAAAGATTATCTTGTTACCCAAGTAACAAGCCCCCCAAGTGGGGCCTGAACACTGGGCCTGGGCGCTGTCCCTCAGCTCTTCAGCTCAAGGCTAGCGCTCTACCACTTGAGCCACAGTGCCACTTCCAGCTTTTTTCTTTTTGGTTATGTGGTGCTGAGGAATCGAACCCAGGGCCTCAGGCATGCAAGGCAAGCGCTCTACTGAGCCATCTTCCCAGCCCTGTTGTTACCCAAGTTCTGAATGCTCATTTACTAAACACTAAAAGTAGAGATGGAGAGGTACAAATCAGTGATTGGTATATAATACATAGAATTAAAGAACAATGTGTTATTTGGTAGCTTTTGTGACTGAACTATTTATCTTTCTACCTCTCCATCTCTACTATATGCAGTCATAATAGTCAATGTACACATGTGAAAATGGAACCAAGTTAATGAGGGGATTGGTGGAGTTGGGAGACACGAGGAGAAACATGGAAGGGATGACATTGATCAAGATGCATTGTGCTCAGAAACTGACAGGTTGAATTAGAACCCTTTTGTATAATTACTTAAAGATAATTCTTTAAAATATTCCATTATATGTACATATTATATTTTTTACTCATGAACATTTGGGTTGTTTCTATTTTATGACTTTTACAAATATTCATGTTCACATTTTTAATATGGATATTTTCATTTCTCTTTAAAAGACAGGAATAAAACTGTTGGGTCACATTTTAAACATGTTTACATTTAACATTTTGAAGAAGTACTGAACTGCCTTCCAAGGCACTGTGCCATTTTACATTCCTGTCAACAATGTATGACGATTTCATCTTCCGCACTCTTGAATGTTGCACTTTAATTGAGAAGCAAATGTTTCTATACCTGGGCTGAAGAGTACAATTGCCTTCAGGTAGGCATATTCATATCCATCAATGCAGAGTTTAACCATGCTATTACAAAATTCTTGTAGTTTGAAGATGTGCTCCATCAATAATTTTCTCCTTTCTGGTGACATTTTATCTTTAAAATACAAACAAATGCTTTTAGTTTTCATCTAAAATGTATGATTGTTTTCACCCACACTATTTCCTTCTCATTAGTTTCCAATTTCCAATATAACCGACCTACACATTCAGAATATCTGCAATTATAAACAAAAACCATCTTCAGATACTGTTCATCCAAAAAATCCTAAACAGTATAAAAAATTCAAATGGGATCTTTGAGAAAATCTGGCCAATGAAAGTACAAGACACTCAGATTTTGGTAATAGGATTTATATTTATATAAATATAAAAAATGAGCAAAATTCTTTCTTTTCCAAAGTTAGCATTCTATTGTAATATATAACATAAGACACATAATATATAAGTAACAGTTAACAAAGTCCAAGTTTTTAAATAAATATTTTAGTTTATTGAAAAAGTGCACATATAAAAGACAGCCATTAGTGTTTAGTCAACCATAGCTTCCCTGAGGGTAGGCTGCATAACACACAATAGATATAGAAGCGATTACTCAGAACTACAAGTTCTTCTGTGGAGATAGTGTCTCTACAGAAGGAGATAGACAAGGTAGTGCATACCTGTCATTCTAGCAACTAATGGAAGTTTAAAGTGGGCAGACTAATCCAGGTGTGAGCTAGGGCAGGCAAACACTATCAAAAATAACCACCACAAAAAAAAGATGGAGCTGTAGCTCAGAATATCTAACTTTCACCCTAACATTTTTTTAAAAAGCTGATGGCTTCTCCTACACCCTGGGGAGGGTATCTGTTAAGATGATTTTTACCTTGTTGAAGACTACTGTGAAGACAATTGACAAATGTTGCCAGGATAGTTGCGACATTCATCACTTGCCAGCACTGGGCAAGACCAAGAGTAAAAAGTTCATTCCAATAAGCTTTTACGAGAGATATGCTGTTTTCTTGACTAATGAAAACAAAAACAAAAGCATACATAAGATATTATTAAAATGATCTTTACATCTGATCCATGCACTTAAATATTCAACTAAAATTACTCTAGAAAGACTAATTGAACATGGACTTGACTGGTCTTGTCTTTTATATAGATGACAACAATTTATGAATGCCTAGAAACTTAAATAGCTAGCTTATTATGAACCTACCAGCCAACTTGTATGTTTGTTTGTTTATTTGCGGTTGTGGGGCTTGAACTCTGGGCCTGGGTGCTGTTCCTCAGCTCTTCAGCTCAAGGCTAGTGCTCTACCACTTGAGCCACAGCGCCATTTCCCAACTTTATTTTATTAAAAAAGTTACAGCTTTTATCTTCCATTTTACAGAAATAACAGATTTTTAAAAGCCAAAAACATATACTTAAAATCTTCCTTGAGTTGTCTTTTGCTTTAAAGAGAGTAAATACTTTTTTTTTAACAAAAAAATGGGTGATTAGAGCTATTTAATAGTAAGCAACCAATTTGGTAGCATAAATGGTTCATTCTATATTTTGGAAAAGACATTAATATTCTTATAAAAGAGATGTGCAAGGTTTACTATTATGAATAATAACTAAAAAAAGAGCAAAATTCCTTTCCTTAATTTCTGAATAGAATCTTAGCAGCCAAGATTGTTCTTAGAACAAGAAACATTTTTAAAACAAAAGTCAAAATTCTGTTACAAAATCACATAGCTATTTGAAATTAGGTCTCAGGTTGCATCACTGTAGAAAATCTTCAGATACTATATGACTTGTTTTCCTGCTTAAAATTATCAGGAATGCATGTTTTTACTTATATGTGATGGTCAAAAAAGTTAACCTAAATGAAGTAGAAAGCAGAATAGCATTCTCATTGTCAGGGACGGATATGGAGGAGGGAGGGTTAGAGAGAAAAATGGAAGGATGGAGAATGGAATCAGGGCTGCAGCTGCACAGGAGAAATTTCTAATGATCTATACAGTAGGACAAGTATGGTAGACAATAAGAGCTGGGTATTTCAAAATATCCAATGAGAGTATTTTGAACTTTCTCAACCCAAAGAAATGATACGTATCTGTCTTTATCTAAGACTACATCTGTCTTTATCTAAGACCATCAATATCTATATGCTTCCCAAGAAATGGAGCTCCAATGGATTCACCATATTTAGCTAAGTATGTTTTACAAACATTCATGGCAAAAACTAAGCATCAGAAGTAAAAATATTAATTTCATGTATTATCTACGTGTTAATTTCATGTGGTATTTTGGTAACAATGATTTCTAGTTTAAAATACTGATTTTTAAAAAATGTACTAGGAAGTACTAAAAAATCTATAACAGTACTAGATAGAGAGCTATGGGTGACAGTGCTGTCTGGCACTTTTTACTCATATACTGTTTTGTAGAATGGGAACTTGTTTGTACAATTACTTAAATAAAAAAAAACGGTACTAGATATTTTCTTTAAAGAATCTTAGCCAATCTATATTTTAGTAGTTGGCATGATCAAAAATACCATTTGTGATTCTATAGAAGAACATCAGAAAAGTGACATAAGGAGTGTTCCACTGAAGTAAAGTGAAATCAAGAGTTTTTTTCCTGATCTCTCAAGGGGGAAAAAAAAAATGTATGTTTCTAAGGTGATAGGTATCAATTATCCTTTTGTGTTGTTGTTGGTGGTGGTGGTGTTGCTAGTCTTGGAGCTTGAACTCAGGGCCTAGATGCTGTTGCAGAAGTTTTTTTTGTTTTTTAACTAAGGGCTAGAGCTCTACCACTTGAGCCACAGCTCCATTTCTGGCTTTTTTTCCTTGGCAGTTAATTAGAGATAAGAGCTCTCATGGACTTTTGTGCCTGGCCTGGCTTTGAACTGCAATCCTCCTGAGTAGCTAGGATTACAGGTATGAGCCACTGGTGCCCAGCATGGCTCTACTTCCAACCTATAGATGTGGCATTCTGGCTTTTAAACATTTTAGTAAGTTAGTCCAAAGCCAGAAACGTTAGCAGATGAATAAAGCCAGAATTTAAACTGAGCTGTTACTTACACAATTTAGCAAGTAGAAAGCTAAACTAAATTTCCCAGTAGAAATAGAAACTCCCATTTGAAACTGATACTTTGGGACAATAAGATCCATTTGCTATCAGATTTTATTCTGTTAGTAAAAACACGACAACTGTTTATTGTAGTCACATATTATCTATTTCAAAGCATCTTTCTCTTGAGAAGCAAGTTTCTGTGTAGAAAGTGCAGTATCTGTTCAGGGCCCAGAAAACAACCCAAGCGTTAGCAACAAAGATATTCAGTTGGGTGAGGACGGAAGGAAGAAACTGGGAGAGAGTGAGGGCAGGGGTGGCCTTGTCCAAAAAGAAATGTACTCTGCCTGACTTAGATAACTAATTTTTCTGCAATCACCTTTTCAATAAAATCTACCTAATTATACATTGCAAACCCACCAACTAACAGAAAATATCACATTGTTTTAGTGGCATGTTAAAAGATTCAACCTCAGGCTTAGTGTTTACTGGAAGGTTGCAGTGATTGTTAATACATAAAGTCTCCTGTGGCAAATGGTAGTTCGTTGGAATCTTTGGTTGTAAGATTCTAGGTAGAAAGCATTGCTGCAATACATGCTTTAGGCAAGTCACACCAAGTAAATCCACTACTACTGTACAGTAACTTCCTCAGCTATGCATAAAGACTTTCAAAAATAACTGAATTCCTCCACATACTGAAACTACAAATCATAAAGTCTATTCTTTCTAAACCAAGGTCTTTTAAGATACAAATGGTATTAACCATGTATTCTTTAAAAATGATGCTACTTTCTTCCACTAATAATTTATCAAAACAAACGAATTTTAGAAAATGTTTTTCTCTGTAAAAGTTTGCTGCCAATTTTCATACCTACTAGTAGAAATAAAATCCTTCCCAACCTAGGACTGACAGAATGACTCCCACAAAGAAAAGTGGCAAGAGGGCTCTGCCACAAAGGAAGTGGTGGCCTCGAGAATACACCATCAACATTTGCCGTCAACATTTTTGAGAGTATCCATGGGGTGAGTTTTAAGACATCTGCTCCTCAGGCACTCAGAAACCCAGAAATACAGGCCAAGGAATAAGGAATGTCTCACATCGCATCTGTCTGCAGATACAATGCAGACATAATGAGAATGAAGATTGATCAGACAAGCTCTATACTTTGATAACCTGTTTCTGTTACCATATTCAAAACTCTACAGTCAATAAATGTGGGTGAGAACTAACCAGAATGTCACATGAATAAATACAATGCCATGTGTTTATGCTTAAATAGCTTTTATCTCCATATATATAGATAGATAGAGTTTATGTAGTATTTAATGATGTTGACTGCTAGCTCCAAAGTTATTCTAATTATGAAGACTCCCATGGCTACTACACTAAACTGATTTTAAATACAGATCACAAAGAAAAATGGCTGCCACAGAAAAAAATCAGTTACTTTATAAACAAGAACTTTTTTCGTCAACATCTAAATTATTTCCATGGGATAATCACACTCATTTTAACAATGGTATTTAAAATCAATGATGATATGATTAGAAATTTAAGTTATACACTCTAATTCCTTTCTTTTGGTGTTTTACTATAATAATTGATAATCTACTTTGAAAAATTTTATCGGATTACTTTTCTGGACTATATTAGTTACAAACTTAGCCCACTACACTTAATTCTTTAAAAGCAATAAAATTAATAATAATAGCAATAAAATGTAAATTTTATATTGTATTTTAATTTTTTTCTAAAAAATGATAAAAAGAACATTTGAAAGTTGAGTGTTATTTTGAAAGGGCTAACAACCACTTTAAAGGTTAACCATTCTAAATCAGATTTAATGTGTAGCATGTATATATGTATAAACATATACATAAAACATTATTAGTATAATATTAAATCATAGTATCAAACGTTTTGCTGATGATAGGCTTGGCCTTTTCCACTGCCTCACCTTTTCAAATACCAGTTAGTGTGAAGCAATCTAAGTAAGTCTGGCAAACTTTTGTGAAGCTTGGATTTCTTACACAATACAACAGAATGAAGATGTACTCTTCCACTGAGCCACCTTCCCAGCCCTTAAGATGTATTCTTTAGTGGTTAAGACCAAATATCATGGTCCTATAAAGGTTTACATTTTGGTTCCTTTTTGGCAGAGGGAATAAAATGATTGGAAAATAACTATGTTTATTTTTAAACATAATCATTGCAAGTAAATTTCAACTCCCTAGTAACACACCTGTAGTGAGTGCTGAAACAGCGATGGTGAGAGGGAAGAGCATCTGAGACTCTCTTATTCCCTCTCTATCTTTGAGCCAATCAAAGATGGCCATGACCAATCCTCATGCACTCAATCTAACTTGTTGACTTGGTCAAGCTGTCAAACATGGATATTTTTCCACACAAAAATGATACAGGAAAAAAAACACAAAATAAAAAAATAGACCCTACTAACCATCTGCCATGATTCCTTATATGACACAATTTAAAGTTACAACATATATATGTGTATATGTATATATACACATATATATGTCATATATATGTGTATATAGACACATATATATGTCATTTATATATATATATATTTTTCTCTAATGCAAATCCTCTCCAAATAAACTTCTTCTTTAAGGTATATTTGTACAACCAAAAAAAAAAATCACATTTATATTGAAGGACTTCAAAACACTCACCCTAGTGCCTGGAAAGAAGGAATCGAAAGTGCCCAGTGCATTGATAAGAACAGCAGTCTGGAGGCAGACTCCCCAATGTAGTGCACATTCAGGTACTCAGGCATAGGAGAAGGCATGGTGAGCTAGTATGAATAGGGATTTAGGTAAATTATCTTAGGACTCAAAGTTCTCAATTGTCAATTCCTTTCAAATCTTGATTAAAACAATACATCAAATAGAGTATAATATAGTCCCCCAAAAAGCTTAATCTTGAAATAAATCCAAATTACTGGATTTTCTAGTTAACAATAGGGCTTTGGATAAGTGAGTTTAGGATAAGTAAGATTCCAAAAAAGCAACATTCAGACAAGCAGAATCTTGCTTCATATTATCTGGTTGTGTTTTTTAAAAGTTATTTAATATCTTCCCTCTCTTCTTAGTAATGGTACACAACAAGTTTCAGTAGATAGAGAAATTCTCTATGATACAAGTTCCTTTCCTTTAGGGTACAGAGTTAATAAGTTCAGGTGCTTAGATAGCGAAAAGCAGTAAGTGAAGCAGACCTACTGTTGAAACTGGAGCAAGCATATTGCAGTATAATGGGTAGAGCAGTGACTGGAATTCAGCACAATATTAGCCACAAGTGATCCACCTATTTTTTAATTTTAATTTTCTTATGCTACAGGGCACAGGACCCAGAGCCTCACCCACACTAAGCATACATATCAAACTAGATAAGCATGATAGGCAAGCACTCCAGCAACTGAGCTACATCCCCATCCTAATCTATGCACTTATTAATGGTGCCAAGTAATAAAAGAACAGGGTAATTAATAGTTGAAGTCTCATAAAAAAGAAAAAAAACTCCTTCAATTTTTTCTTTCTCTGTAGTTTTGGAGACTGAACTCAGGGACCCAAGAAGAAAAAAAAATATTTGAGCCGTGTTTACTAGAGCAATACCTTTAATATGCAAAAATTAGATTAAGTGTTCTTAATTTATACAATAGTGGCATGAAAACTTTCTGCTATTTTAATCATAAAAGTGAAATAATTTGAAGTATAAAATAAAGAAGTGGCTATTTTTAAAGATTATGTTATGTTACAAAATGAGGAAGTATTTCCTATTTTATCTACTTTATATATTTCATTCATCTCTAGGATTATGAGGCAGAAAATCAATCTGGATAAACAATAATCCATTTAACAAGTCTTTTAAATGACAAGAGATAGGATTCTTTTCAGGGGTCGTGTTGGGAGATTGTGCTTCCGGGGTCTTCCTTCCTGGTGCCTGCTAGCCAGGTGCTCAACTCCACTAAGCTATGCCTCAGGCTGCACAGATGTTAAACCTCTGTGGATCTTTTAAGTTTATATAGTGAATGATACATATTTTTCAAATTGCAAAATCTTAAATAAGCTGAGCTAATTTTTTAAGTGTTGAAAAGAACTAAACTTGAACAGCCTACTTAAGTAGTTATCACTTGCTGTTGCAATTACCTTTCTATCAGTTTCTGCATCAAATTCAGCTAATAGACTACAGTGAGAAACAACTTGAAATAAATCCAAGTTACTGGATTTTACAGCTAATAATAGGGCTTAGAATAAGTGAGCAGAATAAAGATTCTAATAAAGCAACATTCAGACAAGCAGAATCTTGCTTCATATTATCTGGTTGTGTTTTTAAAAAGTTATTTAATATCTTCTCTCTCTTCTTAGTAATGGTACACAACAAATTTCAGCTGCATGGAAAAATTTTATTTTCCAACTTATAATAATTATTGTATAAATAATATAAATAACTGGACCATTCATTGAAAAACTATTTACTTAGATATCAATGTGAGCACTAAGTGTTATTGTCTCAGTGGGGAAATAAATGAAAACAATATGAAATATAGAAAGGACAAAGAAAGAAAAAGAGACATGTGTGATATGATGGACAATTGAATCAGAATATGAAGGAACCCAAAAGGTCATGCTATGGAGACTGAACTCACTCCTCTATGGGCAGTGAGAGGCTTCAGAAGGTAAGAATATATACTTACATACATTTATTTATTTATTGCCAGTCCTGGGGCTTGAACTCAGGGCCCGTGCTCTGTCCCTGAGCCTCTCTGTGCTCAAGGCTAGTGCTCTACCACTTGAGCCACAGCACCACTCTGACTTTTTTTGGGTAGTTTATGGGAGCTAGAGTCTCACAAATGTTCCTGCCTGGGCTGGCTTTGAAACGTGATCCTCAGATCTCAGCCTCCTGGGTAGCTAACATAACAGAAATGAGCCACCAGCACCCAGCTATAAATTCATTTTTAAGACAGGGTATTGCTATGTTGTTCAAGTTGCTCTGAAACTACTGGGCTAAATGACCTTTCTACTTTAGCTTCCTAGGACAACACGTACTACATTCATCTTTATTTTAACTTGTTTTGGTGATGATGGGAATCAAACCCAGGACTTTGCACATAAACCACACCCTCAGATTAAGGCTTTTAAATAGTCTAGTAATAAATAAATAAATAGCCAAGAGACAAAATTAGGTTGATTTCTAAGGAATTATCACAGAAGCTAGAAAAAGCAGAGGGGCCACAAAGATATTGTTTTAATAAATTCAAAAAAATTTAAAGGCATGAAATATGGTGATAGAAATAAACAGGAAGGGAATTACTCAAATAACAAGGTGGTTAAAATTCAATTATGAAATTATAACAAAATTCAGAAATGAGATTATGGAGCAGGAAAAGGAGGAAGGGAAAGAATGACAAAGGCTCCCAAGTAGCTATGATTCTAAAAGGACTGTGACTCTAATATTGCAATAATAAACACAAAAAAAAGAGCTTTGGAAATTACCTTACTTTTGGCTCATATACTCATTTCAAAATGGAAATAACCTTAAGGTAGATAGTAAGAAAGGAAAACAAATTAAAGTGAAATAGATTTATGAACCATACCCCAAACTCAAGTTTTATATAATCTTAAATATTACTTCTATCTTAGATTCTTTGGGAAATTTTCCAGTTACATTATTATTATACTATTTATCCTTAGTACATTTAGCTTGCTTTAAATAAGATATTAAAAATCTGTGAATTTCTTTCTTCAGATACAAAATGAGAATAAAAATTGTAACCTCTCCAAGAGAATGTGGTGATTCTCAAATGAAAGAATGTATGTGAAATGCTGCAAACTCCATTACACATTCCAATGTAATAGAACAATATAATGCTATTGCGCTCAGCAACTAAGATGAGGTAGAGCCATTAAGTACAGAAGAGAGGTTTGAAGTTCAAGACCAGAAAACCTCAATGAGAGAACTAACCACAAAATTAGTAGGCTCTTGGAACAAAGCAGGGAAATTACTGAAAATAAAATTTTTTTAGGGCTTTTACACATGGTAGGCAAATGCTTTACCATTGATATACCCTACCTTGAAAAACAGAACTATATCTCACAGGACTATAAATAAGAATCAAGGAAACTATCCTTTTAAGGAAAAAAGAAACTCTATAGAGCATTATAATTCTGAGGACTAGCCAGAGAATAAGAAGTCAAAGATGAAAAGGAAAAATGACAACTTCAAAGGAAAATGGTAGTTCTAATTTAATTCATCTGTCAGAAGGACCAAAATCAACTATAAGAAAGCTGAACAACTTTCTAAAGAATCCTTCAGTCCATTTTCCAAGGTTCTCTTCCTACATCTGTCTCATTTTTGTTCTTCCCCATTTAAATATAAAGGCCGAAAAATGAAACCCAGAATACAAAAGAATGGCTTTCATTTAGAAAAACAAAGAACAACAGGAAAAATCAATTCTGCCTTTCTCCACCCTACACCATACCTCCTACCATAATCTTTAAGGATGACACTGATTATTCTCATTATTCTTTCAGTACCCACAAAAAAATAATTTCCCATACAGTTCAGATAAATCAATAATTTCTCCACAAAAATTATCTTCAGTAAAAGTTTACATGAAAATTAATTTTACTGATATATTTAATTTCTATCAAATTGTATTGAAGAAATTACTAAGTTACAATTAGCTTTTTCTGTAGCAATTTCTGAGTTGAAACTTACAAACACCAACTAAAGCTACATAGACAATGTTACATTTATTTTTGTGTTCATTATTTCTATCAATAGTATCCATATTTATTTGATAATTATGTTTTGTTCCCAAAGAAATCTATGGAAACATTTTAACCTTTAGTAAAATTCTGAGCAATCATCTTCAGGTGTATGGTAGTGAAGTCTCATATGCACATAGAATGATATGCTGAATAACAGCATCCACAGCTGACAGAGCGAATATCCAGAATGTTTAGAATAGAGAAGTATGGTCTTAATGTAGGGTCTCAACAGTGAGCATATTTATATAGCTCTGGTATGGGCATTATTTGAAAGATAAGTCAGATATTAGAAAGTGAATTGTTTTAGTCTTCTACATGTATTTTTTTTCTCGTATTCTATACAATACAGAATGTATTTGTGAACTTATTATGCTCTTCTACACTGAGATTTGTAAGAAAAATGTTGCCAAAATGGTTTTCCCTGATATCTTAGCAATAAATGTACTGAATAGGGTCTCAACTGCCTTTCGAAGAAAATGAAGTTGGTCTGTCTTTACTATTTATTACTAGTGGCACTTCCAAGGTTTGTAAGATGCTGATAGATCATTTCACTCCTGGAATTACCAGAATATGAAATTGGACACTAAAAGTCTGGGCTGAGTTGGGGAAAAAGAGGAATATGTAAGTGGTAGGAATATAAGCTCAGTGATAAGAGTGCTTGCCTAGCATGCATGAGGCCCTGGCTTTAATCATGAGACGCTTAGCTGAACAAATTACAAGCATGCGTTCTCCAAAATGTTTAAGAAATATAAAGTGTTAAAGCCCAAAAGTTTAAAAAGTATTAAATAATTTAAAATATATTATTTATAGCTTCTCATGACAATGCTAAAAGCTAAGGGAGTCAAACATAAATGGAGTACTTTGTAATTACTATGGTAAGGTCAAAATATCTGGGTCTTAGATATAGTTTAACACTTCTTTTGTAGTAATAAAGGCAGTCCATTTAAACTTATCATGAATGATTATGCTTAAAATTAAAAGGAAATTGTGTTTACATTTAAGTCTAAGAGCCTTAAGCCCACTATTAGCTACTATAACTGACTTATAAACAAGATGCTTTACTAAATCACTAGCTTCTATTGCAGGACATTTATGTCTTAATTTCAATTTTATAACACTACCAGAGGTATTTCTCACTTAAAATGCATAATGAATACACTTTGGGTTTTGAAAGGAAGACAAAAATCAAATGATAAATCAAATAAAAAAGTTTAAAAATTAAAAAAATACCCTGAAAGCTACATGTGAATCGCTGAGAAGTGGCCCCTCTTTTTCGATGTAGTTTATACTCGAATCTCCAGCAATTAGGTGTATGCTTCCTTCCACACCCTCTACTGAGCTCTGACAGGATGTGCTCTCTCCAGGATTCAATGCTTTTGCAAGAGTGTCAAATGCCCTAGAAGGAGATATCAGAAGCTGTGAGCCTAGCCAATCTCCAACAATAATATAAAAATTTGATACGAAATTCTAGACTTAAATGATTCATTTTTTTGGTCAGTCATGGGGCTTGAACTCAGGGCCTGGGTGCTGTTCCTGAACTTTTTTGCTCAAGGCTAGTACTGTACCACTTTAGCCACAACTGCACTGTTGGTTTTCTAGTGGTTAATTGGAGATGAGTCTCACAGACTTTCCTGTCTGGGCTGGCTTCAAACTGAGATCCTCCTGGCATAAGCCACTAATGCCCAGCAAAAAAAAAATTTTTTTTTTTAGTCCAGTTGTGGGGCCTGAACTCTGGGCCTGAGCGCTGTCCCTCAGCTCTTCAGCTCAAGGCTAGCACTCTACCACTTGAACCACAGCACCACTTCCGACTTTTTTCTTTTTGCTTATGTGGTGCTGAGGAATTGAACCCAGGGCCTCAGGCATGCAAGGCAAGCACTCTACCACTGAGCCACCTTCTCAGCCCCCCCAGCAAAAAATTTTTTCACATAAGAAATTCTGTAGCATTGTAAGGCTTAGGCTTGGTCCTTAGCTCCACCAACAAAGAGAAAAAAGCTTTAGAAAATAGAACTTTGTTATACAACTGACTTGTCTAGTTCAATGATTTTGTGATTATCTTTAAAATCAACAATTTAAACTTCATTTGTATGATCTACTATCATAACTACTTAACAAGAAATCATGTTACTATATTGAACACTACACAAAGGTCCTAATTTTATTAAAAAAATTCAGAGATAGTCATTCAAAGTAGCTTCCACATTTTTCAATAACATAACTTCTAGAATTCTTTAAAAATCTCACATTGAGCAAAGTATTCATCATGACTCATAAATGCTGCTCACTCAATTTTTTAAAAAAAAATTCCCTTGTATGATGCTACAGATTGAACCCAAGGACTTGAACTGTTTTTCTGTTTTGACGGTCGTGGCTTGAACTCTGGGCCTGGGTACTGTTCCTCAGCTCTTCAGCTCAAGGCTAGTACTCTACCACTTGAGCCACAGTATCACTTCTGGTTTTCTGAGTGGTTTATTGGAGATAAGTCTCATGGTCTTTCCTGCCCGGGCTGGCTTTGAACCTCCATCCTCAGATCTCAGCCTCCTGAGTAGCTAGAATTATAGGCGTGAGCCACCGGCGCCCGGCCCCAAGGACTTGAACTTTCTAGGCAAGTGCACCACCACTGAGCTACATCCTCAGCACAGTATACAGTCTTTTACATGATAAAGTATGGGAAGAGGCTAAAGAAATGTGTTTCTACAGATAAAATAAAAACAGAATGCTGACGGCATTTTCCTCAAGTAACTTAAAGCTGTAATTTAACTAGGTCTTTTATATTTATTTTCATTACTAAAAATTAGAGGTGAAGGGAGAATCAACATGACTAGTAAGAAGCAAATGTTTTATTCAATGTACACTAAATATTTGAAAAGTCAGACTCGAATTACCATTTAAGAGGAAAAATGCTTATAATCTAAGATTATCATTCTAATTTTGTAATATTAATTTATTATTTAGAATGTAACCTATTTAACACTCTGTGGTAACTGTAGTTTTTCAGTTAAATCTAACCATGCTTTACATTTTCTAAATAGAATAGAAATAGTTGCTTTCAGAAACTTCAGTCAATAATAACACACATACATTTCAGTAAAATCTCTTTGGGACAAGGTCAAAAAGAAACTTACCTTGAAACATCACCATTGCTCTGTACTTCCTGGTTAAATTCACACAGAGATGTATCTCCATTGCTTAAGCTGTCCGTCATAGGCATTTCATTACTATCTTGAGAAACTTCTTTGGCTTTTCCAAGATTTGCTAATGATGTGACTACACTAGCCAATGTACTCAAATCGCCCTGGCACGATTCAGCCTTTAGGGAAAAAACAAACAAACAAAAAAAGCAATCAGTATATTTTTAAATCTTTAAAATCTAACCCTAAATCATGAAATCAACAAGAACAACATGTTAAAATAGATTAAACCTAGCAAGTATAATCAAAGAGAGCTTTTAGAAACTTCTTGAGGAAATGTATCAAATTTTTAAAAAGTTTATATAATACTTCAAACAAAAAACTGTCCTTAATGGCTAATCTATTCATGTTATAGTCTCTTTCACCTTAAAATGATATTTTAAATTACATGATCATCCAAGTTCTTTTTAGCATTCAAATCAATATTATTATTACTTTTAAAACTGTTTGTACAACCTATAAACAAGCATAGAATATAAAGAATCCCAGTGAGAAGAGGGAAAAAGGCAAATGTATTATTAAACAACCTTCCTAGAATGTAAGTTTTACCAGGTACTGAACTAACTAAAAATGTTAAATATAAATACAAGATGTTATGTTAAAAATGAAAATGAGGTGAGTGTAGTGGCTCATAACTATAATCTTACTTACTTGGAAAATACAGAATAGGAGGATTGTGGCAAAGAAAAATTTGGAGAGACCCAAATCTTAAGAAACAAGCCTAAAGTGATGCTGTAGCTCAAGTGGTAGAGCGCTCGCCTTGAGCTGAAGAGCTGAGGGACAGCGCCCAGGGCCAGAGTTCAAGCCCCACGACCGACAAAAAAAAAATAAAAAAAGAAAAAAAATTTAAAAAAAGAAAAAGAAACAAGCCTAAAAAAAAAACCAAAACTACATGCTAAAACAAGGTTTCCCTATCATCCTAGCTATGTGGATGTAGGAGCATATTGGCTCAGACTGCCCTAAAAGGTTCCAAGACCTACCTGAAAAAAAAATCTAAAGCAAAAAGGGTTGGGAACATGGGTAGACTGGAATATCACTTACAAGAACAAGATCCTGAGCTCTTTGCTCAATTCACTTTTTCTATTGAAATTGAAAAATATAATTAAAATATTGTTTTTGTTTTGTTTTTTGCAGTACTAGGACTTGAACTCAGGGCCTTTCTAGGCAGGCACTTTAACACTTGAGCTATTCCACCAGCTACTTTTTAATAAGTGAGTGTGTGTGTGTGTGTGTGTGTGTGTGTTAGGCAGTCACTTTAACACTTGAGCTACTCCACCAGCTACTTTTTAGTGAGAGAGAGCGCGCTCCACACACGTGCGCGCACCAGTAATGGGTTTTGAACTCAGGGCCTAGGAACTATACCTGACCTCTTTTGCTAGGCTAGAGCACTACACTTGAGGCCACAGCTGTACTTCCAGCTTTTGGGGTTGTTAACTGGAGATCAGAGTCTCATGGACTTTCTTGCTCAAGCTGGCTTTGAGCTGCAATCCTCATACCTCAACCTCCTTAGCCACCAGTGCCCAGCCAGGGTTGGTTGTTTTTTAGATAGGCTCTCATCTTATTCCCAAGGCAGCCTGGACTGTGATCCTATTTGTGCTTCCCCATGTTTGCAGGGATGACAGGTATGTCACTGCACCTAACCACTATGCTTCACTCATAATTTAGGATGATAAGCATGTTTTAACACACCCTGCCATTGGTTCTGATGGATTCTTGTGAATGTTTTTCCTTTTCAAGACTGGCTTAAAACCAATGACCCTCCTTTCTCAGCCTCTCGAGTACTGGGAATACAGGTGTGCGCCCTTGTGCTGGCAAATAAACATACTTCTTACATGTGAGTGTAAGTAAAGTAGATATTTTTAACTATTTTAATTTTCAACAAAAACCCAAAACTTATGTATTTTCCAGTTAACAGCATGTCTAACTAGATTTTTAAGCGTTTGCCACTGAAGACTCTTTGTAAAATTGAAAAATTTCATCTTGCAATGTGATAGTTTTGGGGGTCATTAGTTTGCTCTTCTTTTTTGGGGTTGAATGAAGGTCCCCAGGAACGTTAAGCATGTATTTTTCCAGGGTTACACTCATAGCACTTAGCATTCTTAGAGTTAATATACAAGAGCAATCATTCTTAGAGACAATTAATATACAAGATGTTGCTGGGTGCCAGTGGCTTTCACTTGTAATCCTAGTTACTCAGGAGGCTGAGATCTGAGGATCAAGTTCAAAGCTAGCACAGGGCAGGAAAGTCTGTAAGACTCTTATCTCTAATTAAGTACCAAAAAAGCTAGAGGTGGCATGGCTGAGATCTGAGGATCAAGTTCAAAGCTAGCACAGGGCAGGGAAGTTTGTAAGACTCTTATCTCTAATTAAGTACCAAAAAAGCTAGAGATGGCATTGTGGCTGAAATGGTAGTGCACTAGTCTTGAGTACATAAGCTCAGGACAGCAACCTGGCCCTGAGTTCAAGCCCCAAAATCAGCACCAAAATAAATAAATGTGAGTGTGAGTGTGTATGTGTTTGTTATACAAACATATGCAGTGTCTGGGTAGACATAATTTCTCAACAAAATTCAGTTCTCTTCCTTCTTAAAGCAGATTTAATGCCAATGAAATTTTGATTTTGGTAATCATGCAGAGGAGGCTTAAGTGAGGCCTTATTAATTCCAAATATATAGTAAGAAGCCAAACTGCTTTACTAATTACATGTTGGAAAGGGTGATTGCCTAGTATGTGTAAGTACCTGGGTTATGCCTCCAACACGGCACCAACTAAATAAATAAATAAATTTCATGCTAAAGCCTAACTTGTAAAGTACATATTCTTAGTAATTTTATAGATGACAAAAATAAAGCACTGAGTAGTCAAACAATTTGCCCAAGTTCACAGAACAGATGAAGTTATGTTTCCAGACCAAAGTATTCAAAAGAGTCCTAAAATATTAAGAAACATATATAACCAATGGCAAATATAAGTATCTTCTGGGATATATAAAACCAGATCCCATTGAAAGAGAACCTGACACCAGATCCTTAAAATTTTGTTCTTGAGGTTTTTGAATGGTACAGAAACTTTACATGCTTGATATAAATATTAAAGAAAAGCTGTTCCAACATAATGTGGGACTTGGAGGTGTGATATAAGAGCTCCTGCAACCTCCTTGCTACTTTTAAGTGAAAGCTCTCACTGGAGTAAACTACAATTTCTCTTTCTTCAAATATTTGAAGTATTTTTGGCACTAATGAACCTATAACAGAAAAGGACTATGAATAATTTATATTTAACATGGAAATAAGCCTGCTACAGTTCCAAATATTTGTTAATCTTGAAGCTATACTTGTCTTACAGGAATAGTTGAGCAAATTGTTGTTAATTTTGCTCTGTGTGTGTGTGTTTGTGTATACCAGTCAGTACTAGGACCTTCTTGCTCACAGGCTGCATTCTACCACTTGAGCCATGCCTTTTGCCAGTCATTTTTGTGGTTAAATGGAGATAGGATCTCACAGAATTTTCTGCATGGGCTGGCTTGAAACCATGATCCTCCAAATCTTAACTTCCTGAGTAGTTAGCATTATGGGTGTGGGTTGTGAGCTACTGATACCTGGCTATATGTATAGTTTGTTTTTTTCTTTTGTGCCAGTACTGGGGCTTGAACTCAAGGCCTATGTGTGTTCTGTCTTAACATTCTTGCTCAAAGCTGGTACTCTATCATTTGAGCCCCAGCTCCAACTTTTTGGTGGTTAATTGGAAATATGAGCTTCACAGATTTTCTACCTGGGCTGGCTATGTACAGCAATCCTCAGATCTCAGCATCCCGAGTAGCTAGGATTACAGACATGAGCCACCACCATTGTCCTAATGTATGTTTTAAAAATAACAATTTGTAATGGAAGTATTTAAGATCAAGTAAATTGACTGAAGTGGTAGAGAGGTAAGAAAATTTCAAAATCTTAAAAGCATAAGGCAAAATTTTAGCTTTAAGTGTTGGGGATATGTAGCTTAGTGGGAGAGTGTTAGGCCCTGGATTCAATCCATAATGCAACCAACATAACAAATTTAGCTTATGTGTGTGTGTTTGTGCATGTGTGTGTGCGACCAGTACAGTACTAAAGACCTGAACTGTGAACCTCGAGCTCTCACTCAGCTTCTTTCACTCACAGATGCTACCTTACCACTAAGACACAACTCTAGCCAGCTTCGTGCTGATTAATTGGAGCTAACAGTCTTCCAGAGTTATCTACACCAGATGATTTCAAACTTTGATACTCAGATCTCAGTCTCCTGTGTAGCTAGGATTAGAAGCATGATCTGGGGCTACCTGGCCAATAACAGCTTTCAATTACACTTAGGAAACCCACTTTATCTGGTGTCATCAGCACAGCTGACTCATCTTTTACTCCAGACTGATGAAGATTCACAAACATTCCTGAATCCAATAATCCTGTTGACCTGTAACAAGGAAACACAAGTTTTAGTATTACTTCCAACAGGAAGAAAAACTGAAGACTAGACAGTGTGTACTTTACTATACCTTGCTGTTTCACTATCTGTTACAAAAGTTGGAGTTGCAGCTAATGGGCTTCTAAGGTCTTTGCGGATGTAGATTTTTTCTGTTGAAGCAGCACAATTAGAAGACTTCTCTCGTGACATTTCAATGGGTTTTCTTTCACACTGAACAGCTACAAAAATGTGTTCAACTATTAGACTACAATACAGAATTTATAGGCAATTATAAAATAGGTCAGAAATAGTGCTAATGGAAAACAATATTATCATACTGAATTCCAAAGATAATAATCGAGAAATGATATACAAGTTCAACAAAAGGACTTCACATCTGTAAAACAAACCAATTAATTCACATCCCTCATACTTCCCTATTCCTCTCCAGAGCAGAACCAAAGAGGAACTTTTATTTTTAAACACTCACTCAAGAAGGAGAATTCCTCATCTACCTCCTCATTTAGGTGGGGGCCAGATTATAGAGCTCAGGCCTATATTCCAAGATACCCAGGAAGCTAAGATTTGAGGATCTCAGTTCAAAACTAGCCCAGGAAGACAAATCCAAGACTCTTATCTCCAATTAGCTTGCAAAAAGCTGGAAGTAGAGGTATGGCTCTTGAGCTAAAAAGCTAAACAAGAGTGTGAAGCCCTGAATTCAAGCTCAAGTACTGGTGTGAGCAGATAGATCCATGTATACACAGACACACACAAAGTTCCTAATCTATATGACTTTACAAAATGAAAGTTAACCAATTGAAAAGAATACAGGTGAACAAATGCAGCAGTGGTAGACAACAGACATTATGTCGAAAATGAACTATACAACTTCTGTGCAGGGAAGGGAGGGAAAAACAGAGAGAGCACAAAGAAAGAGGAGACATTATCTAAGAAGAAATGTACTCATTACCTGATTTATGAAATGGTAACCCCCTGTACATCATCTTTATAATAACAATTAAAAAAAAAAAAGATTCTAAAAACAAAAAGTTCAAAAGTAGATTGAGATTTTTTTTTTTAGTTAAAGGTGGGGAGATTTTTTTTTATATAATTCAATTGCCTAGGTAATATATATGCATGTAAAACACATATAATTTATATATACATGTTAATATTTATAGAAATTTTATTTCATAATACCTAATAAGGTAGTAGTCTTTAAACTCTTTCCATTTTCAGGTTGTTGTGGGAGAAAGACAATGGCCAGTGCTCAAAGCTAAGTTCTGTCACTTACTCGTTCTATGATCTTGAGCACATTTATTTTTTTTAATTTTATTTATTTATTTGTTTGTTTGTTTGTTAGTCGTGGGGCCTGAACTCTGCGCCTGGGCGCTGTCCCTCAGCTCTTCAGCTCAAGGCTAGCACTCTACCACTTAAGCCACAGCACCACTTCCAGCTTTTTCTGCTATGTAGTGCTGAAGAATCAAACTCAGGGCCTCATGCATGCAAGGCAAGCACTCTACCACTGAGCAACCTTCCCAGTCCCTGTTTTTAATTATATTTTTATCAAACTGGGTGCCAGTGGCTCACACCTGTAATACTAGCTAGTTAGGGGGCTGAGATCTGAGGATCGCCATTCAAAGCCAGCTGGGGCAGAAAAGTACCCCTGAGACTCTGATCTCTAATTAACCACTCAAAAAAACCCAGGAGTGGTGCTGTGGCTCAAGTGGTAGAGCACTAGTCTTGAGCACAGACAGGCTCAGGGACAGCGCCTAGGCACTGAGTTCAAGCTCCACAACTGACAAAAATAAATAATATTTTTATCACCTTTAAGTGGTTATAAAAAGGGGCTACCATTTAACAAATCAGCTTATCAATACAATGCATCTTGACTGAACCTTGGGCAAGTTTTCAACCTCTGTTTACTTGAATGTAGAAGTGATAACTCCAATATTGCTTCAGAGAACTGCAGTACGAGTCAGTTCATAATATGTAAGCACAGCCTGGCATACTGAATGTACAATCAATTCTGGCCTTTTCCATCTTATGAATTAAGTATCTCAACCACAAAACAAACATATCTATCTTGTAACTTATGCTTTTTCTGGTGCTATTTTCAAAGTATAAATGCACGCTTGTTACACACATTCAAAACCATTCGTTGAGAAAATATACAGATATATGTATTCTTATATTTTAATTGAAAAACTGTATGTTAAAAAGCACATATAGTTAACATATCTTAATGTGCTAATCCAAATAAACTTCTAGTTTAAAGAAATCCTTATGTCTTTTCTCTTTTAAAGTTAACACTTACAGTCTTGTCTCATTCCAAATGCAATACATCTCTGTAACCGGCAGTACTGACAGCGGTTTCGATGGTGTTTATTAATGACACAGTCCTTTGATCCTCGACATGAATACACTAAATTTTTTCGAATGCTTCTTTTAAAAAATCCTTTGCAGCCTTCACAAGTTACTGCCCCATAATGACGCCCTAGAAATAAAATGTTTAAGAGAATATAAAAGACATATTACAGAAAAGATATGAAATACTATTATCTCTCATCTATTTGGCAAGGAATAAAATCACCCTAAATCTTATCATTTCACAGCAACAAAATGAAATGAGCTTTTAAAAAACTATATTACACTGAGCCTTGTGATACACATGAGCACACACGAGTGTAGATTTCTGGTATGAATTAACAATCGTCAGATCTAAAGTCTCTTTACTTCAGCACTAAAAAGAAAAAGGTTTAGAAAAATCACCTGTTCAGTTATGCAGTGCACTGAATGCCAGTTAACTAAAGCCTTTTCCACTTCAGTAATTCCAACTACACTGTATTTCTGGAACAAGCCTCAAAAATTAAAAACCTTAATATACTATTAAGGGTACTAATTTTTAAATGATTCCTTTGAGCTATTTTCTAATTTTTACATTCCAAAAATTTCTGTATCTTTACTTCCACAAAGTGAAACTTTTCATACCACATTAACATATTCACAGTATGCTGTTACAAGTCAAATTAAACTTCATTTAAGTAAAAAAAGATGAATAAAAAAGTTTAGAGAAAAATTAAATTTTATAAGTGTTTGGGTATGAGCCATAAAAATGACATGTTCCTTTATTTTTCTTTTCATTTTTACAGGAAACATAGTGATAATAATTTAAGTAACACACACCAAAGTTATTTTTAATGTTACCTGATGCTCTGTCTCCACATACTACACAAAGTTCAAAAGTCTTATTTGGTCCTTGGTCTGGAGAAGAATTATCTGTTAAGAGCTTTATTAAAAAAAAAAAAGTTACTACTCAGTAACATTCTCATTTTGTTAAAAAAATGAAAGCTCACTTTAGTTTTTCACTTTATCTTGTTATTAAACTGTATATTCTATTATTAATTTAACTAATCTTAATTTTCTTGACAAAACTAAATTATAACATGCAGACATTACTGATTTTCGATTTGCTCCATAACAATAACATTAAGAAATCAAACTGTTTTTGGTGGGAAAACAGAAACAGGCTCTACAACAAAGCCAAGCAAGCACAAGGTTCTCAGCCCCAAACTCAGTACCAGCAACAAATAAATACATTTGTTTTCTCTTTAAAAAAATATGAAAGAGAAAGTTGGGTGCCGGTGGCTCATGCCTGTAATTAGCTACTCAGGAGGCTGAGATATGAGGATCGCGGTTCAAAGCCAGCCCGGGCAGGCAAGTCCGTGAAACCCTTATCTCCAACTAACCACCAGAAAACCGGAAGTGGTGCGGTAGCTCAAGTGGTAGAGCGCTCGCCTTGAGCTGAAGAGCTGAGGGGCAGCGCTCAGGCCCAGAGTTCAAGCCCCACGAATGACAAAAAAAAAAAAAAAATAAGAGAGAAGGAGAAAGACCCTATTGCTCTATTTTGAGGTGGCTGCTAGAGGAGATTGGACCAACAAGAAGTGTTAAAAGAGAATAAATATGGTTGAAGTTGTTTGTATCTATGAAAACAGAATGGTGAAACCTATTGAAAGTGTTTTAGGAAGGGGGAAGGAGAAAAAGGAAAGTGATTAGGGAGGGGGTAAGACTGATTGTAGTGTGCATGAAAACATCCGAATGAAATCCCGCAGTACAACAAATGTATGCTAGAAACAAACAAAAATCTACAACAGCAAAAGGCCTATAATCTTAGCTACTCAGAAGGCTGACATATGAGGATCAAGGTTTGGAGCCACCACTGGCAAGAAAGTCCAAATGATTCTTATCTCCAATTACCCACCAAAATACCCTAAAGCAGAGACTGGCTCAAGTGACAGAGCAACAACCTTGAGTAAAAAAGGTAAGGGGCAGTGCCCAGGCCTTGAGTCTAAGCCCCAGTACTGGCACCAAAAAACAAAAACAAAAAAATACCTAACTGTTCAATACACAAATACATGAACATTTTTTTCTTTTTTTAAATTTTAGCCTTTGTGTTCCATGCTAGTACTCTACTTGTGCCACAGCTCAACTTCTGGCTTTTTGGTGGTTAATTGGAGATAGAGACAGTCTCAGACTTTCCTGCCAGGGCTAACTTCAAACTGATCTTCAAGTCTTAGCCTCCTGAGCAGCTAGGATAAATCACTGATGCTCAGCATATGAGTAACTGTATCTCATCCGTATGTACTAATAGTACATGAAATATGTAAAATTATTGCAGTTGTATTATGACATTAATTTGAAAAGTTCAGAACCTTCCCACATTGAATGATATAGGAAGAGTTTATAATAACCTAAAAAGATGTATCTAGACTTTATTCATTGAAAGTCATTGGTGCAATCAATTCTAATTATGTGACTGCAACTGCTCTACAAAGGTACAGACTTTACATCAGTGAGTTAAAATCCAAGCTGTGTGTATAGTGAGAGCATGTGTTCTGCACTCATCAAAAAAGAAGCATGTAATGGACCAGAAGTGAGGTGAGGTGGGGTGGCCATGAGCAAATTAGTACGCCTGTTAAGCTACAAGAGGAGCTCATCAATAGGTTCCTGGTAAAGGACGCTGGCAAAAGAACACTGTTCTTTTGGGTTTTTTTAGGCTTATTTCTCCATCTTTCCTTTTAACCTTTTTAAATGTAAACAAATCCATCCTTAAATTTTAAAAAAAGTGTGGCATTTAATAACCTCTCTTTGCCCCTTAATTAAACAAAAACAAACACCTTGCTCTACCAATCTTTAAATTTTTTTTTATTTTTATTATTATTATTTTTATTTAGTTAGGGTTTTTTTTTGGTCAGTCGTGGGGCCTGAACTCTGGGCCTGGGCGCTGTCCCTCAGCTTTTCAGCTCAAGGCTAGCACTCTACCACTTGAGCCACAGCGCCATTCTGGCCTTTTCTGCTTATGTGGTGCTGAGTATCGAATCCAGGGTCTCATGCATGCAAGGCAAGCGCTCTACCACTGAGCCACCTTCCCAGCCCCATAAATAAAAGATTTTTTTTTATTGTGAAAATACTGTATAGAGGGGTTACAATTACATGGGCAAGATAATGAGCATATTTCTTATCAAGCATGCCTCCTCCTTTGTTTCCCCTTCCCATCTCCCACTCCCCCACCTCCCCAAAAGATTTTTTAAATGACTTTCCCCTTACTACATAATATATAGCCTCATTCTTTCCTAAATTATCACTTAAAAAACATTTTTATCAATGTATGTATTGCTCCTTTTCTTACTAGCTTACCAATGAAACTGATGCTAATCGTTTGCTTACTATTATTCTTAAGAATAGAGGAGACATGGAAAGGTTAGAGGTCGTGGTCACATCCTAAGATCATTAGACCAGAAACTACATCTTCTTAGACCAGGGAAATGTCACCAAACAGTTCCCAAACATGGAACCCCCCCAAAACTTCTCGGTAGGCAAACTTATAAGGTATTTTATATATATATATATATATATATACACACACACATATATATATATATATATACATATACACACACACATATATATTCAATTACAGTAGCTGGCAGTAAAAATATCTATATAGCCATGGTATCTGGTATACAAAAATAAAGCACTGTTGTGCATTCTAGAAAAAGTTAAATAGAGGTAGTGTTGATCTATATGCTAAGTTCCAATGTAGAGCCAACCAAGGTAGACTGACAGCTATATTAATGAAGGTGAAGATGACAATAGAGGAGGCACATTGCTAGAGTTGGCAGATATGATTCTAAATTCTTGATTTGGTAGCTTCCTACACATGGCACAGTACGTTGATTCTAAAACCTGCAGCTATAGAAGCTGCTCTTGATTTGACAGTTTCCCAACTGTGAAGTTTTACAGCAGACTTAACAGTTATTCTTGGGAACCTGGCCCAGAGCTTTCTACAGCCTTCAGTAAATCCCTTCCAGGCCAAATTAACCAGAGTGGATCTTACTATCAAAACAAAGAATCCCTCAAAATACACTGTTGTGAGGATAAGAAGGACACCAGCTTATACGAAAGGGCAGCCTGCACAGACTCCTTTACAATTACTTTTTCTACTGAAAATGGATATGTATAAAGTCTTAATGGCATGACTTAGGTCACACTTTTTAATATTTTTTTTTGCAAGCACAAAGGAAAAAGACGTTTCTATAGTTATTTACCTGAAGTTGAGGTGTAGACAGATCAGGAGTTGTAAAAAACAACTGGTTGACACCTCCTGCATCTGGAGCTGTGAGGAAGACTTTTCCAGGAGTAGCATCCTGCCTGGCCAGAATGACCTTGCTTGGAGCAGAACCGTCATGGTTGGTCAGAATGAACTGCTTGCCCTGGGTATTATGATCAAGTGCTGTCACAATCTGGATTTTCTGCCCAGTTTGCTGTTCTGTAACAATCTAACACAGTCATGTCACATTAGTAATAAACAACTCAATCTTTGTTCTTCTTTTCTGACATCTTCAGACAAACTGCCATCAGTTACACATACCTTTTAACCTGGCAATTTTACTTCCATGAAATTCTGTTTGATAGGAATAAATGTGCAAACAAAAGGTGCAATGGAGGGCTGGGAAGGTGGCTCAGTGGTAGAGTGTTGCCTTGCATGTATGAGTTCTTGGGTTCAATTCCTCAGCACCACATATGCAGAAAAAGCCGAAATTGTATGGTATTTTCACAATTAAAAAAAAGAAAGAGAAAAATAGAAGAACAAAGACAAAAAAAAAGCCGGAAGTGGTGCTGCAGCTCAAGTGGTAGAGAGCTAGCCTTGAGCTAAAGAGCTGAGGGACAGCGCCCAGGCCCCGAGTTCAAGCCCCATGACAAAAAAAAAAAAAAAGTGCAATGGTAACACTATTTGAACTCTGTTTTAATTGTTCTTTCCTTTTCTGTTTCACCTTTTATTCAGACAAACAAATTTGTTGTTTTGGTTCCTGGGACACAGCAGTAAACACTACAAAATCTTTGGTCTCCTAAAGCTTTTATTTTAGTGGGGAGAGACATAAAATAATCAAATAGTTATGCTGTAGGTATTCTAAATGCTGTGGAGAAAATCAAAACAAAGTAAGTAGAGAAAGAATGCATCCTGAGGGAAAATCACATATGGAGATAGTTTTTGTCTAGTACATGAGTAAAACAGAAGACAGGGATTATAGTGGAAGATGGGATCTAAGCAATAGCAGGGCCAGACTGTCTGATACTTCAAGGGCACCACACAAGTCTGGATTTCTACTGCTGAAATGGAAGGACAGTGGGGGAGTTGGAACAGGAAGTGGCAAGGTCTTTTATAACTCATTCACTCTCTCTCTCTCTCTCTCTCACACACACACACACACACACAGATAATGGCTGGGAATAGGGTGGTAGCTATGTGGGAATTGAAAAGCATTAAATTTGAGATATTTTTTGAAAACACAATACTTAAAGCATTCTCTAATAAAGAAGTAAGTTTTGTAGACAGTTCTCAGGTCACAGGACCTTTTTACACTGTAAAAATTTACTGAGGGTATGAAAGTTTTTTTGTTTATGTGGGTTACAGTAACTATTACAAATATGCTAATATTTTCAAAGAGGAATTTTAAAAAATACTTAATTCATTAAATAGCAGCTCACTAAGGATACTTTTTGCTTTTTTGCAATATTGGACAATCAGGGCCTCATGGTTGCTAGAAAAGTGCCTAAAACAATGTTCCTCTCCCTTTTTGTTTTAGATTATTTTTCCAGTTATGTTCTCACAATTTTCTCTGCCCTCCCAGTAGCTGGGATTACATATATGTACCACTACCCCCAGACTAAAGTTTTGTTTTGTTGTTTTTTTGTTTTTTGTTTTTTTTTGTCATGAGGCTTGAACTCTGGGCCTGGGCTCTGTCTCTTGGCTCTTCAGCTCAAGGCAAGCACTCTACCATTTGAGCCATAGCGCCACTCCTGTTTTTGTTTTTGAGACAGTGTTTTGCTAACTTTATTGGCTGAGCTGGCCTTAAAACTGCAATCTCCTTTCTCCCAAGTATCTTGGATTACAGGTGTGAATCACCACACCACCCTCCCCCCAAAAATAACATTTTCAAGGGTGAATCACCACACCACCCTCCCCCCAAAAATAACATTTTCAAGGAAAATAAAAGTTTATTTCCAAACAAAAAATTTAGTTGAATGAATGGTGATATGCTACCACTTTGCAAATTATTTTAGTGTTTAATTTAGAAGAGGTTAGAATTTCATATCTGCTTCTTCTTTCAATATGTTAGGATATATTGTTTTAGTTAAAATTTATAAAGAAAATCTGGCCTCACATTTATTGTGCGAAAGGAAGCAGGGTATTTTAAATGACTTTTCAAATTATGGAAATTGTTCTTTGATACTATGAGAAAACTTGACAAGTTGTAGCTTTTCAAAGGTTAATTGCAATGTGGAATCAGAAGCTATCTTAAAATCCATTGCTCTCTTCTGCAATTTGAATGGATCCTTTACTCATGTATGATTTTGTAATACCATGCGTTGACAATTAAGAAACATGGTTCATTGAATTATGCACACTTTTTTTCTTTTTGGCCTGCACTGGGGCTTGAACTCCGCTTCGAGCTCTCACTTGGCTTCTTTGTTCATGGTTTTAGCTCTACTATTTGGGCCTCCACTGCCAGCTTTTTGCTAGTTACTTGGAGAAAAAGTCTCATAGGTTTGCCTGCATAGGCTGGATCTGAATGGTGATTCTCAAATCTCAGCCTCTTGATAGCTAGCCAGGATTATAAACAGGAGCCACCAGTGTCTGACTTATGTATACCTTTTAAATGTTGATACATTTCAAATTATAGTATCATCATATCATATAGCTCGTGTGGACCAACAGGAGAAAGGGAAATAATGTTTTGGTATTATTTAGAAAAATACTGTTAAAGCTGGGCATGGTGACACAAGTTTGTAATCTCATAACACAAAAGGCTGAGTCAATGCATGGTACAAGTGGTTCATATCTACAATCCTAGCTACTCAGATGGAAAATTTCTGGAAGACCATGGTTCAAAGCCTGTTCAGACAGAAATTTTCATGAGATTCCATCTCCAAAATAACAGCAAAAGGGCAGGTTGGGGCTTCTACCCAAAATATTACAAATCAGGATAGAGTAAAGACAACTGCATATCCACATTCATTGTTGTAGTACTCACAATAGCCTAGTTTACAGAAACAGCCCAGATACCTTACAACAGATGAGTAAATCAAGAAAATGTGGTACATAAATACAATAGAACTTTATTCACCTATCGGAAATAATATTATGTAATTTGTAGGGAAATAGATGGACCTACAACAAAATACGTTAAGTAAGTCAGGCTCAGAGAGACAAATGCACATACTATCCCTCTTATGTGAAAGTTAGAAGGACTAAAACATAAACACAGATGATAATACATATGTACAAACTGACAAAAGAGGAAGAGTCCAACATCCTTTGAACAAGAAACAAACTGTTTAATAATATATATATATATATATATATCAGGAAGTGGAACAAGGTTTGGGAGAAGGAGAGTACTGAGATGGTGGCACAGGAATGGAGGGAAGAATGGTGAGTAAATGCAGTCATTACATTATGAAAGTTGAACTACGCAACTAGTGGGGAAGGGTTGAGGGGAACTGGGGAAGAATAATGGAAGGAGTGACACTTATGTATTGTACTCATAACTTGACTTATGGAATTCAAATACTTAATAATAATAAATCAGTTAAAAAAAAAGCACCAGGTTAGAGGCAAGTAATAAAATGACAGCCTATCAAGGAAACCAAGCAAGTGTGAGGAAAGCCCTGAGTTCAAACTCTGGAACCTGAAAAAAAATTCTAAGGTAAAAGGATTTCCAGTTTAAGGCTAGCATTAGCTATATAGCAAGACCTTGTCTCTTAAATAAAAAAATCTAGAAACTTCTATCATATCATAGTTTCATAGTTCCTTAATGTTAGAATATGGCCCCTTTGCAACAAAATAAATCTGTCAGGGTATTTCTATTTATTGTAGCATTTATAGACCAGATACAGCCCTTGTACTAACAGAAATACCTCTAAGTTTGGAGAAGCCAGTGTGGACTAGGGATAGATATGAAAAAACAATAAATGTGTCTTATGAAGTCATTATAAACGTTTTTATAGGGCTGGGAAGGTGGCTCTGTGGTAGAGTGCTTGCCTTGCATGCATGAGGCCCTGGGTTCGATTCCTCAGCACCACATAAGCAAAAAGAAAAAAGCCAGAAGTGGCGCTGTGGCTCAAGTGGTAGAGCGCTAGCCTTGAGCTGAAGAGCTGAGGGACAGTGCCCAGGCCCAGAGTTCGGGCCCCACGACCGGACCCAAAAAAAAAAAAAATGACTGACTTGGTAGCATATGCCTGTAATTCTAGCACCCAAGGGGCAGAGGCAGGAGAAACATGAGTTTGAGACCTGTCTGGGCTACATGGTTAAGACCCTGTCCAAAACAAAAATACAGATAAGACTGACTTGAGAAATTAGATAGAAATAAGACCAGCAAAATGTATTTATTTTATATATATATATATATATATATATATATTTTTTTTTTTTTGGTGGGGGGGTCCGGTCGGTGGGGCCTGAACTCTGGGCCTGGACGCTGTCCCTCAGCTCTTCAGCTCAAGGCTAGCGCTCTACCACTTGAGCCACAGCGCCACTTCCGGCTTTTTTCTTTTTGCTTATGTGGTGCTGAGGAATCGAACTCAGGGCCTCAGGCATGCAAGGCAAGCGCTCTACCACTGAGCCACCTTCCCAGCCCAAGTCAGTCATTTTTTAGTAAGCACTACGTCACATGGAGGCTTTAGTATAATTTTAGAATATATTTTATTATCAATATTAACATTAGCATACAACCTTTATGAAGTAGTTAAATCTCATCAACATCAGTATTATGTAATATTGTAGTATGGTTATGGCATAATTTAACTGCACTGTAAAAAAATCATTTGTTTTCTCTTTTTAACCTATCTACCCTTGTCTCTATATCAGTTATAATTAAGGACAGATTTTGGGACAATTGGCTATGACTTGGTTACTTTGGACCACCTTCACTGGAGACAAGGCCAGTCATACTATATCACCTCTTAGGCTAGTACTGAGACTACAGACTAGATTTTATTGGGTGCTGTCTTATAGCAAAGCCTTTCTCCTCTAGGAAGGACACAAATAGTCAAAGGTTACAATAGCAAACAGTTTTTTGAGTCCTAACATGTTCCCAATTCATTATTCTACTCAGTTAAAAAATAATATCAACTGTGGGGTTAACAAGCCAAAAACTGTGAATAGAAACAACTACAACAATAATAAAATACATCCTAGCATAGATATCTTTTGCTAAAGAGTAGGACACAATCTTTTTTTTTTTTTGGGTCCGGTTGTGGGGCCTGGCGCTGTCCCTCAGCTCTTCAGCTCAAGGCTAGCGCTCTACCACTTGAGCCACAGCGCCACTTCTGGCTTTTTTCATTTTGCTTATGTGGTGCTGAGGAATCGAACCCAGGGCCTCAGGCATGCAAGGCAAGCACTCTACCACTGAGCCATCTTCCCAGCCCGACATAATCATTTTTAAAACAAACTTACCTGTATGAAATGAAGTATCAAGACTGACCTTCAAAAACATTTCATCCCCTTCAAAAAACATTCCTTGGTCAGTCCTAACTCTATTATAGCTCTTTTTTTCTTTGCACACTAGCATCCAATACTATTAATAATCACATATTCTATTTTAATTGATTATTTAATTAGCTCTCACTACATAAAAAGCATGTGAAGGCTAGGGATAGCTTTCTGTTGCACCTGCAGTGGCTAGCATGCATGTTTAGCACAAGTAACAGAAGTTTGATAGGTCAGCAAATGAAATATAAAGTAAACATACCTCACCCATCTGTTGTTCAATAATCTGATGTGCAATTTCTTCTATGGTGGCCATGATCTATTTGTTAAAATGTCCTGTGAAAGATAAAAATGTGGCTTTTTACAATTACATACATTAAAAGTATTTATTAGAGTATTTGAAGGTAAATTTATGGAGCTTGAACTTGGGCCCAGGCACCGTTCCTGTGCTCTTTTTGCTAGCAACACACACACACACACACACACACGCACGCACGCACGCACGCACGCACGCACGCATGCACGCACACACGCACTAGCACTAGCACTATACCTTTGGGCCACAGCTCCACTTCTGGTTTTTAGAGTTGTTAATTAGAGATAAGAATCTCATGGGGACTTTTCTGCCTGAGTTGGCTTCGAACCACATAGCTCAGTCTCCTGAGTAACTAGGATTACATGTATGAACCACCAATACCTGGCTTATGATGACTTTCTTGAAAACAACAGCAGTTAGAGTAGGAAGTGGTAAAAGGGAATAGACAGAAACACATTGGTCATAAACTGTCAAACGCTGTCAGCTGGTGAAGTTTATGAAACTATTCTGCTCTGTATACCCTGAAAATGTCAATTAAACAAGCCCTATGCCAGTGGCTCACAGCTGTAATCCTAATGACTCAGGAGATTCAGACCTGCTAGAGAAAAGGAGAGGGAAGGGGAAGAGACAGATAGACAGACAGACGGACAGACAGACAGACAGACAGACAAAGAGAGAGAGAGAGAGAGGAAGGAAGGAAGGAAGGAAGGAAGGAAGGAAGGAAGGAAGAGAGGGAACGAAGGAAGGAGGGAGGGAGGGAAAGTGGGAGGAAGGAAGGAAATTAATTAGGTAATTATCTGAGGCAGAAGGGCAGAAGCAGTAGATGTTTGGTCAATCTGGGCTACATAGTGAGTTCTAGGCATGGACATGAAACCCTGTATCAAAAAAAAAAAAAAAGAAATCTTACCTAAAGTAATTGCTTTATTAAAATTCTGAAATGATTCTACAGGATGTAGCTCAATATTAAAGGGCTTGCCTGACACGGAGGTGGCCCTGGGCTTAATTCCTAACAGCTATGAAAAAGAAACAATAACAAAAACTTTCCCATTGAGATTTATTGTCAGGATTCACTGTCAATGGTGTCAGTATCGCCAATATTCACTGAGGACTTTTACAGTGAGTGCTGTTCCTTTTCTGACATCAATATGGGTAATGTGTTCCTTATGTTATAAATATGCTCTCCAAGAACCACTGGAGTTACAACAATAGACAAAGAATTGTCTTAGCAAGGCAAAATTTACTTATCCAAAAGGGTATGCCATCAGCCAAAAATCTGGCAAGCAAACAAGGAAACAAGCAGTCTGCTCCCCTATTTATCCCTAAGTCAGCAGGCCCTGCCCCTCTGCTCAGATTGGTTGAGCTCATCATCAGCTAAGGGTAAAACATTTATTTTAGGTGACTTTGGAATAAGAGTAACAGTATACAAGTAACCTTGAAATATACTCTCACCTCTGCTATTTCTTGAATAGTTTGACCTGTGCAGTAAGTTCATCTCCAAAAAGAAACCACTTTAAGACAAAACCTTACATTTCAAAAGATCCTTCTAGCTGGGCGCCGGTGGCTCACGCCTGTAATCCTAGCTACTCAGGAGGCTAAGATCTCAGGGTCACGGTTAAAAGCCAGCCCAGGCAAGAAAGTCCATGAGGCTCTTATCTCCAATAAACCACTAGAAAACTAGAAGTGGAGCTATGGGTCAAGAGGTAGAGTGCTCGCCTTGAACAGAAGAGCACAGGGACAGTGCCTAGGCCCAGAGTTCAAACCCCACGACCAACAGGCGGAAAAAAAAAAGATCCTTCTTTATCTCAAAGGTGTTCCTCTTTTCCTTAACAAGAGCAAAATGACCAGACCAAAGCAGGAACTTTTTAAGAAAAAGACAGTTTTAGCTGGGCACCAGTTTACTCCTGTAAACCAGCTATTCAGGAGGCTGAAATGTGAGGATCACAGTTTAAAGCCAAGGTAGGCAGGAAAGTCAGGAGACTCACCTCCAATTAACTACCAGAAAACCAGAAATGGTGCTATGGCTCAAATTGATAGAGCACTAGCCCTGAGTGAAAGAGCTCAGAAGTAGCTACACCCACGCCCTGAATCCAAGCCCCACAACCAAAAAAAGAAAAAGAAAGAAAGAAAGATTTTCTCTCACTTAGGACAGCCAAACTATATAACCAGTCTACTTTCCAAGTTTCTTGAATTCAAAATTCAATAGTTCACTAGTTGCAATGTTAATACTTTGCAGGCACATTGCTATAGTATATGGATTTAATGTTACTTCTCTTCCTGATATTCTTCAGAGCCTTCCTTGACCTATAAAAAGATTCAGCTGCCATTTGTTCATCCTTATATTCTAGGTATATAAACCATGCCTAATTCCTTAAATTTATCATGTTGTTTCATTCTTCCCAATCTTTGCAAATGGCTTTTCTCTATAGCATGAGTACCATGGAATAACTAGATCAATATTATCTAAGAGTAAATATAGTACCAAACATGAAACAAACCAAGCATTCTCTACAGCCTGCTGGTAGAAAGCTAAATCTATTCTATTACTTTTCCTAGAAAAGTAATTTTCCAGTGTCTATCAAAATGTTCATAAATGTCTTAAAAACGTTCTGAGGCCAGCCAGAGGTACCTCCACAGTGAGACCTGTTTCCAAACAAAACAAAAATGCTCATACTTACTACCGAAAAATGTATTCTATATTCTTAAAACTGTTGAGTGCCTGCTTTATTACAGGATCTTTTCTAGGTCTGGACTTATAGGAGGGAATACTAAAACAAACACGCTTTCCCTTTGTGAAGTACACACGTTGGTAGGTGAAAATGAAAACAAAGAAATGAGTAAAACATACAACATCAACACCATAGCTTGTTCCTATTTATTATGATTTTTTTTGGGGGGGAGGGTCCGCTTATGAGGCCTGAACTCTGGGCCTGGGCGCTGTCCCTCAGCTCTTCAGCTCAAGGCTAGCGCTCTGCCACTTGAGCCACAGCACAGTTTTTCCCTGCTTATATGGTGCTGAGGAATTGAACCCAGAGCCTCATGCATGCAAGGCAAGCCCTCTACCACTGAGCCACCTTCCCAGCACCTTATTATGATTATTTATAAAGAGTGCTGAGGTTTAGTTCAAGTTGTACAGCACCTGCTGTAAAGGTCTCATACTACATAACATGGGAGGAGCATGAGCAAGAGTAGCAGAAGGAAAGGACAGTGAAGGAGATACAAAGCACAGGGTGCAACTCTACTTTGTAACAACTTGTGCTCAGTACCACATAAACAGAAAGGGCCAGAAATGGTGCTGTGGCTCAAGTAGTAGAGGGCTAGCCTAGAGCAAAAGAAGCCCAAGGACAGTGCTCAGGCCAGACCTCGAATTCGAGCCCAAAGACTGGCCAAAAAAAAAAAAAAAAAGAGCTAAGTTTAGTCATTAAGGCTTTGCCCCATAACTTAAACACTTCCCACTATGTGTTGCTGCCTAACAAAGCTACAATGGAGAATTTTGGTGTGGCAGACTATATTCCAATGACAGCAACTGCAAATGGTGAAAAGTAGGATGGAAAAAAATAGATCAGAGACTAGGGACAGAAAGTGCTGGGAAAGGAGCTAACTTTCAGTTTTTAATAAGAGGTCAGATGGTCTTCCTGAAAAGGTGCAGTCTAGTATATACTTGAAGGAAGTGAGGAAGCAAGCCATCTAGCGAGCTAGAAAAGAGGCTTCCTTTCCATTTTTTTCCCCTTGAGAACAGGTATTTGTGCATTAAAAAAAAAAAAGGTCTCTATAACATTTATAAGAATAAAAACACGTTGTAGAAACAGTCCAGATGCCCTATAATAGATGAGTGGATCCAAAAAAATGTGGTACTTATACACAACGGAATTTTTAATAGGAATGATATCATGTCATTTGCAGAGAAATGGCTAGACCTAGAACAAATCATGTAAAGTGAGGTAAGCCAAGCTCAGAGACAAAAAGGCATATTTTCTCTCATGTGAAAGCTAGATTTTAAAATACACTGGGACAAGCCCGGTGCTGGTGGCTCACACCTGTAATCCTAGCTACTCAGAAGGCTAAGATCTGAGGATCACAGTTTAAAGCCAGCCCAGGCAGGAAAATCCATGAGACTTTTATCTCCAATAAACCATCAGTAAACTGGAAGTGGCACTGTGCCTCAAGTGGTAGAGTGCTTGCCTTGAGCTCAAGAGCTGAGGGACAGTGCCCAGGCACAGAGTTCAAGCCTCATGACTGATTAGGACATGATAAATTATATAGGATTCTAGACATTCACACACAGTGAGACCAAAGAAGGATACTCTTAGGAAGGGAATACAAAGATGCAATGCCATCGTGCTTCTGATTATACAAAATAATATTTATCAAAAAGAACTCCAGGAAATGGAAACAAGGTTTTTTGGTTGTTGTTGCTGTTTTCATTTTCTTTTCTTTTTGTCTTGTTTATAAATCTTGGGTAGGGTAGGGGCAAGCACAGAAAACTACACTATGTTGAAAATGAACTAAACAATTTGTGGGTGGGGATGGGAGGGGAAAACAGAGTGTAAGGGATGGGTTGATGTTGTCAAAAAAGAAATGTACTCTTTACCTGACTTATATAACTGCCCTTTGTACATTCCTTATAATAAAAATAAACATATTAAAGAGAATAAAACTATGGAAATGCACTAAACAGAAGGACTATCTAAACTAAATAATTATAGTAAAATCATGCGTAGGGGATTTTTAATAATGACAATACTTATGACAAACTACATACAAAGAAAACCAAGAAATAAAGTTTTATTCATCATATGACTTTATGCTGAAACATATGATTACAAAAGAATTTAAATGTAACTGCAGAAAAACACAAGTTCACATTCATTTACAACAGTGTTATACACTAAATTTCAAGAAGTTCAAAATATCTGCATCCAGTCCTGGGAGTCAAATTTAAGAAATTTCTGGAACTGAAATCAATAGAAAGCAAAATCTCAAATACAAAAGGATTATTATATTCCTCAGTATAGCATTTTGAT